ATGTGTGTGTGTATATATATGTATATGTGTGTGTGTATATATATATATATGTATATATATATATTTGTGTGTGTGTGTGTATATATGTATATATATGTGTGTGTGTGTGTATATGTGTATATATATTTGTGTGTGTGTGTATATATATGTATATATATTTGTGTGTGTGTGTGTGTGTGTGTATATATATGTATATATGTGTGTGTGTTCAGGTAGTGTCAGAGTCTGAATCCGAGGAGGAAGACCAAACAGTCGACAGGAAATGGGAGTGTGGCTCCGTTGGCTGTGGAGGAAACTGGGGGGAAGGGCCGAGGCCGGCTGGGCAGAGCAGGGGAGAGGTAGAACAAGGGAGAAGGGAGCTCAGAGGAAGACCCAGGCCCGCCCACCCACCCCCGTCCTCATTCTAGGGCACGCAGGGAGGAATGGAGAAGGGAAGCAACGTGGGTTGGCTGGCTTACGGGGGGAGGAAAGGGCCCTGATTCCCTTCCTTAGCTGCGGCTGGGAACACAAAGTGTTTCAAAAGGGAAACTGCGCGGAGCAAATTGTCGGGAGCAAATTGTGAGTTATCTTTGTTTGGTCGAGGCTTATCTGGGCCTTTGTGCCACGCCCCTTTGGGTCATCCCAGGTAACCCAAAAGAGGCACGGAAGTTTCCGGCTTTTTTTCCCGGCATTCAAAATTGGGGGGCCCCCCGCAGGTCCCGGGGGTTGTAAGCAAGTAAGTCGATGTTGGCTGAGGTGTTGAGGCACGATTGTGTTCGTAAGTCGAGGATTCCCTCGTCCTGGACGCCGCCGCTGACGCCACCCCTTGCCCTTCCTGCCTGTCTTTTAGGCCGTCCAGTTTCAGGCATGACCTTACCGTCCACCGTCCACCTGGGACTCCCGCCTCCCGGCCGCCCGTATCGCCTGGCCCTCGTCGCCGGGCCCTACCGCTACTACCACTACGGCTGCGACGGGGTGGATGACCGAGGCTGGGGCTGCGGCTACCGGACCCTCCAGACGATGTGCTCCTGGCTGACGGCCGCCAGGGGAGGAGGAGAAGAAGGAGCCGCCGTCCCGTCCCTGAAGGAGATCCAAGAGGCCCTCGTGGAGATGGGGGACAAGCCCGCCTCTTTCGCCGGATCCCGGGACTGGATCGGTACGGTAGAAGCCGCCCTCTGCTTGGATCGTTTCTACGGCGTGCCGGGGAAACTCCTCCACGTCCGCGTGGGCCGAGATCTGGAAGGGGAGCTGGAGACGTTGTACGCCCACTTTCGGGACGGCGGGGGCCCCGGGATGATGGGGGGAGGCCGGGACAATGCCTCCAAGGGCCTGCTGGGGGTCTGCTCCGGCCCCGAAGGGCACCACCTGCTCGTCCTGGACCCTCACTTCTACGGCGGAGCGGGCACGCTCAGCCGGCAGGACGCTCAGGCGCAGGGGTGGGTTTCGTGGCGGGCGCTCGGCTCCTTCGAAGAGACCTCCTTCTACAACCTGTGTTTGCCCCAGTTCTGGGCCAAAAAGTTGGGCCAGGCTGCCAAGAAGGCTAGTTAAAGTTGCCAAGAAATAGTACAAAACCCAAAGAGTCTCCGAACCCCAACCAAGATAGTCTGAAACTTCCACAAGGGCAAGGATTTTCTTTGCTTCCTGCAAAGAGCTCCGGTCTCTCAGGCTGGCTTTTTATCCCTTACGGCAGGGGTCCCCAACCGCCGGTCCGCGAACCGATACCGGTCCGCGGAACAACTCTTACCGGGCCGCTGGTTGCTGGGCGCCGCCATCTTTTTTTGGTAAAAAAGTGCTTCCGGTGAGCTTTTCCGGGTAGAAAGCTCACCGGAAGCACTTTTTCATCAAAAAAAGATGGCGGCGCCCAGTTGATGCCGGTACTGGGCCGCAGCGTCAAAAAGGTTGGGGATCCCTGCCTTACGGGATAAAACTCCCGAGTCTTCCACAAGGCTTGGAGGGCAGAGAACTTCATTGCTTCCTGCAAAGAACTCCGGTCTCTCAGGCTGGCTTTTTATCCCTTATGGGATAAAACTCCCAAGTCTTCCACAAGGCTCGAAGGGCAGAGAACTTCGTTGCTTCCTGCAAAGGAATCCGGTCTCTCAGGCTGGCTTTTTATCCCTTACGGGAATAAAACTCCCGAGTCGCCCGTGGCTGCTGCAGCTGCTCTTTCCTTCGAGCAGCCCCGCTGGGCACAGGCTCCTCGGGATGCTCTTCCTCACGGCTGCCGGCGTCCCCAATCTCCGACGGCAGCACTCCACTCCCTGATTGGTCCTGCCCCCCCCCTCCCTGCATCCCACGCAGGCCCCTCATCCGAGTCCTCCGCTCTCCGTCTGCACCTGCTTCCAGCCAACCACAACACCGTGGGTGGGAAAGCAGTACATTCCTTAAATGCTGCAGATAATTGCTAGGCAGCCGAAGCTGTTGGCACGCAAGATGATTACCTGAGCGCGTGATCGATGACTCTGGGCTACGGAGGTGTCCCGTTGGATACTCGACATCCAGGGCTGGATGGGAGGAAGATCCGGCTCAACGGGGGAAATGAAGGGTGCCTTTTAGTATCGGCTAACGCCGACACATCAACTCCTAATAAATCTGAGAGATGCGGCTAGAGACTTGTGAGTCGAATTGGGGGGTGCATGTCGGAGCCTGGACAGGATGGGCGTCGCGTGCTTAGCAAGCGCTGGGAGCCTCAACGCGGAAGGAAAGGCCTGCGTCCGCCATCATGAGGGTCCCGCCCTAGGGAGCCAACTCCCCGAAGCTTCAAGACTGCTGTGACCCCAAGCTTGAACCGACCAGTTGAATTAGTTGCTTCCTGCAAAAGCTCCCCTCCCGTTCGCTTCCTCTTTTAGGTCCTACGGGAAGGGCCAATCCCCTCTGAAATGTGGGCCTTACTCCTGAGTCGACCCGGCTTTCTCAACTGTCCTTGTCTTCTGGTAGTTTTTGTGACCCACGCTTTCCGAGACTGTAATTACACCCACGCTTCTTTTCGCAAAACAAGCCTGGTTTTATTGCCAACACGGGGGAATTATTTTCATTCCCAGCCGGGAATGAGTCCCAAAACAGTTCCTCGAGATAAGCACCCGCCTTTCTCTCCTTTGAATGGCTGCTAACAACTAAAGTGCCAAATGACCTATTAAAAAAAAAAAAAGCCAACCGAAGGACAAACTCCACACAGAGCTTCCAGGATGAATCTGAGCAGAGCGAACAACCTTGCTTCCTGCCAAGGTTTCATCCCCTTGGCCTGACTTTTATCCCTTAGGGCACTGCCAATAACCAGAAGTGTCCAATGAACTAGGGGGGGGAAAAAAAAAAACCACCGAAGTACAAAGAGCTTCAAGGAAGAACCTGAACCGAACGAACGACCTTGCTTCCTGCAAAGAGTTCGTCGTTGAGGGCTGACTTTTATCCCTTAGGCGAGGAGCGATCACTTCCCAGCCTTACTCCCGAATCGCCCCTTTGGTCTCAGCTGTTCTCGCCTTCTGGCAGCTCTGTGCATACGCACACTGGGAACCGGCTCCCCTGGGTCCTCTTCCTTGCTGCTCCCAGACTCCGGAGGATCCGGAGGCAGCGCCCTACTCCCAGGATGGTCCTGTCCCCATCTCTGCGTCGGACGCAGGATCCTTCGTCCGAGGCCTCTCCAGATTCCCTGACGGGTCCCTCGTTCTTCCCCACTGTCCAACTCCGCTACCGTCTGCACCGGCGGCTGGCGAACCACAACAGGTGGGCAGGCGGTGTGTTCTATCCTAGCCAACGCCCCCCCCCCCCCAAAAAAGCACTACGTCAATTCCGAGTCCCGGAAAAAAAAAAAAACCTGTTTGCCTTCGTGTGAATGTAGTTCATTCCCCAATCCGCCAACGTCTCGGCAAACGGTCTTGCGAAGAAGGGAGACCTTATCAAATCCTGGAATTCAGCCCGGTAAATTGTTCCACGCTCAGTGCTGACAAGGAAGGGCCGGGTTATACAGACAAGGCTGGAAGGACCAAACAACCAAAAGCCGCCACCCCCCCCCCCCCGCCTCACTGCTGTCCAAGCCCGAAGGCAGCTGATGACCGCCAGCCTCCCCTTGGCCCCACCTCTGCCTCCGACGCTTCGGACCCTCGTCCGAGTCCTTCCCAAACTCCCTGACTGGCCCCCTTTTTTCCCCCCTCACTTTCCAACACCGCTGCCGTCCGCACCACAACAAGACCGATAAAAAGACAGCCGAGCTCTGGAGCTGCTTGCTAGGCCTGGCTGGGTTCCTGTGGCTGGATTGGCAGGTCGTCGGTGGGGCCAGGTCGAACCCGGCCTTCCCTTCCTGGCTGGCTCGCCAAACCAGTTCCACTAAAAGGGCAGAGGAGTACAATGGGTTTGTGTTTAATCTGATTCAGGTGGAATCGGGGTGGAATGGGGTGGAATTGGCTGGTTTGGTTGCTGGGTGGTTTAATTTGCTTCTTCATTTTTTTATTTTTAAGTGCAGAAGCCGTTCTCCCAGCTGGCCTCTCCAAAGACGACCTTACTTTGTGCTAGACTAGAGCGAGAGTGCCCAAACTTGTCCCTTTTTAAAGATTTTGGTGGGTTTCCAACTCCCAGAATCCCCTGGCCCGGCAAGGTTTACCAGAATTCAGCATGGATACTGTTAGGATATGCGCAGAGTAACCCTTATATAAAAAAGGACATGCACCACGGAAAACGGTTTATGAGAACAGTTACGAAGAAATATACAGCCGTACAGAGTTGAACAAGTTGTCTTCATGTTTGCTTGAAGAAATAGCCCAGTCCAATAAACAGTCCGCGTCTTACACGTTTTTTAACAGTCCATAAATATCCAGTCTTCTGACCGGTTCCATGTCTTTCACAGCAGACAAATATCAACCCATAATACAACAAAGAATCTTCGACATCAACAGAATATCGAAATAAACAGGGTTAGTCAGTATCGGTCCGTAGTCAGTCGGTATCGGTATCAAGAGAGATCATCAGTGAAAAAGAGAAAAAGAGAAAGAGAATTAAACCATGATCTATAGCTCCCTCTTGTGGCCACTTGT